AAAAAAAAAAAAAAAACAACAACAAAACAAAACAAATACCAAAAAACAAAAACACAACCAAAAACCCGGCACTTGGAAATGTGTCTTACTGAACCCAGCTTGCAAAACTGCTGCCCAAGGCAACTAAGCTGATGTGGAAGTGGCTTCAAATTCCTCCACTCCAGGGAGGCCCCACTCTGTAACTTGTACCAAGTACAACAACAGCAGGAGACTACCACAGACAGCACCCCGTCTGTATTTAGTACAGACCATGCAAGCACCCAAATCAGGTTCCACAGCGAAGGGGAGAAAGTCACTCAGTGTATGTAATTTATACCTTTCCAATTATACACCTTTGCGAAGGCAGTGATTGGGGGGAGACTCCCTTCGATTTCGTGATTTCCAACAACACTGCTACAAATGAAAACTGCAGTGATCGAGGACAAGTTTTCCCTTAATGCACTGTTATATCATTAGCCTGTCTTAGTCTGATATTGCAGTTTGGAAGAAATTAATGGGACAGCACATATTTAAGTTCTGCCCTCTTGCTCGTTTATGAACTTCACAGAAAGCCCACAGCAGACTGAGGCTTGGTTTATGACCATAAGCCAGTGCATACTAAACATCCACTGGTTATCAGGGTCTGCAGGACGAATCAGCTATTTATAGTTCTATTTATAGTTCTCCGACTGCGGGGTAGTTGATAAGTAACAATAAAGTGAAGGCATTTTGAGAACTATTATTCTCCATTACCGCTTCCTGCATTAAATTAAACTCACATAGATAGCAGTGATTTCTTAGTCAAAGCAATTTAAATAAGGATTCAGCGTATTCTTCAAAAAGAAACCATTCTGGAATACAACACCAAAGCATACAGAATCTGTCTCAGGCAAAAAACACACAGGGTGAATCGTGGCTCCAGAGTGAAAAATGAAAGGCCGTTTGTTTTTTATTCTGATTTTCTAGGCAATGACAATGAAACAAATACAAAAATCAGCCATTGCTCAGAACGAAGGTGTCTTACCTTTGTTTACAATAACAGTATTGAAGAGCTTTTCAGAGCTGGCATCTGATGCCTGAAAAACAAGAAAGGGAGAAAAAAATGTGATTATGGTCGTTAATATTGCCATCACCATCATCACTGATTTTCAACCAGTTCACTACATTTTTAGCAAAACCTGACAGGGAAAGCAGCAATTTCCCCCAATCGTCCATAAGGTGGCGCTATTTGACTGCACGAGACAGACCTGCAGTGCAGCTCTTTGCTGGGGGCAAAAATCTGATTTTAAAAACGTGTCCTTATTAGACATATTATCTGTGCAAAACATATTTCTATGAGATGATACACAAAGCAATTCAGCTCATTCACATAATGATTTTGCAGTTTCGTTGACAGATCATTATTTTGGAAATGGTGCTTTTTTTTCTTTGAGATGTACAGACATGCCTATTTTTCAATGTTCTTTCACAACCCAGAAATGCCTATTATTTAAACGCTATGCTTTTCCCCACTAAAAAGTAATGGCTAGCACTTCCGGAAATTAATTTAAAGATTCAGCTGATGACCTCGAGATCCTTGTTCTTCCTAGCAAACCAGGACGACCTTGGTGTTGAAACAGAAGCAAGCTGACCTGCCCCCGAACCTGACACGATGCACGCCACAAGCGTTACTTCCTTCCCGTTTTCTAGAATCGTATCTGCTAATTACTACAGTGGCTTGAGGAAAGTGAAATAAACCTGTTTCAACAGCAAGAGTAAAGCCAGGGTAAATTATACACTAATGTTCTGGAAAATAAACACACAGTTGATTTGGAGGAAAATGCCATAATGCTGTAGAGGCATTTGTAGAACTTCTAGAAAAAATTAAGCAATTGAAGTAAACATGAGCATCCCCACTACGGTAATCTGAAAATGGACCTGCATTTAAAGTTACAATGGCTGTGCTGCAACCCTTGCCATGCAACCCTTGTAAATCATTTGTCTTTCACACTTTATACACAGAGATGCATATTTTGGCAAAGCAAAGCATAGCATGTTGAACAAATATAGAAGGAACTATAAGAATTGGGGGGAGGGTATATCCCAAGTACAGCATATTCCGTGACTCTGGGGCTGGGGGGGCTGACTTTGGGGACAAAGAAGGTACTCAATTTAGCCTTTCTGTGTTATGTTGATGAAAAAGAGATATTCGTATGTATATCTGGGGAACATATTCTGGTTTTCAATGCAAGGGATACAGAAAGACAAAACATATTTTTATTATGAGTTTTTCCCCCTTTATTTTCCTCCTAACCTCCCTACTGTAGAGGTGGTTCAGAAAATTAATAGATCAAGGGGAAAAAATGAATGTATGTGTAAAACACATACATGCACACACATGTATATACAGTTTAAAATAAACCCTAGATAGCTTTAAAATTTTTTTTTGTATGAATAAAAAATATGCCAAAGTCCTTCCTGACACCTTAGAGGTAATTAAATAAAACTATACAATAGCTTTTCAGAAAAATAAGCTGCCAAAAAAGTGTAGCATGGAGAAAGAAACAAAATATGCCTTAAACAAATCAGAAAGATTGTTAATAAAGGCAAAAATTACAGTAACAGTCCTGTGATATTGCTATCTGTGGTGAGATGTCTAGGAATGTGAGTTTTCCCTGCTAAAAACTCAGAGATAAGCCTGTGTCACCATTCTTGAATGAAAAAAGCATCTCTTAGTTTAAACTGGAAGGACTGTGTTAAATTCATGGCTTTTAAAAACAAACTCCGGCTGATACGTTTAAAAGAAAGAAAAACAGGGGCGCCTGGGTGGCACCGATTAAAATGACCGACTTGACTCAGGTCATGATCATGGTCCGTGAAGTTCAAACTTCCCGCCTCGGGCTCTGTGGCGGCAGCTCAGAGCCTGGGTATTTCGAATTCATGTCTCTCTCTCTCTGCCCCTCCCCTGTTCATGCTCTGTCTCTCTGTCTCAAAAAAATAACGTTAAAAAAAAAATTAAAAAAAAAAAAAAAAAGAAAGAAAGAAAAACAGTCCATTAATGAAATCATCTTCATGGCAAGTACCTTTGCGGTTGGGGATTACCTATTAAATGTCCAATTATTTAAAGAAATAGGACAATAAATGCAAATGCACCCCGAATGCAGAGAACGTGGGTGAGAAAGGAAATGGTTCCCGATTGAGTTTTTATTTGTGTGGGTGTATGAGAGAGATCAAATAGGATAGAAGCTGCAGGTTAACAGGCCCTCCGGTTGTCTGAAACACCTCTTGGGGCTGTGGCCTTTTGTCGGCTCCCCTGCTCTACACAACACACGCTATTCTCAAGGAGGCGGTTAAGTGTTCCTTATATCTGAAGCGAACTTAGAAAAAGTGATTATGATGCCAACCAGTAAGTTATTAAGGAAATAAGTCTGACAGGATATTCAGAGAAGATTAGGAGTGTGCCCGCTAATAAAAGCTGAGCCCTTTAATTTTCTGATGCATGTCACAAAGCCTGAAACGATGCCTCTTCTGATTGGGGAAGGGGCCGCCTCAAAAAAAGCCTCCGCAGGAAAACACCCCAAAGAAAAACACTGCAATGGGACACTGGCTCATCATGAAATGATTCTGGGTCCCTTCCTTCTTCCACCCAGGTGGTTGAAACTATGGCGGCCCACCGTCCTGAGAAGTCAGAAAGGAGCTTCTTGGCCAAAGTCTGAAGTGGAAACTACGAGAAAATCCTTTACATTTCCTCCACCAACTTTCCAAATTCGACTTCTGCGTTTAAAGCATCTGTGTAAATTATTTGGCCCTTTATCTTGGGGACGTTTTCTTTTTCATGATTTTTAGAAGAAGAAAAAAAAAAAGTCTGCAATTCCTTGTACTACCTGGGCCATTTTCCTGGCCGGTTTTTTACTTTTATTTTTCCATCACGAACGTCGAATGGAAACATGGTGAGCGAGAGGCGAGTGGAGGTTTCCCTTCTCTCCTTTTTTTTAACACAGGGGCACCCTTACACGCTAAGGACTTCTACATTTTGCCCTCATTTCGCTTCACGCCCCTCGCTCGGTTTGGGAGAGTGAGGGCGTAAAGTGGCTGCATCTAAAAAGGACAGAAAAACAAAGCTCTCTCTTGGCTGCTTTTTAATGGGGG